TATATATATATATATATATATATATATATATATATATGCATAGGATTCAGCCTCCAGATGAATTGGTGAAATTCTGATGAAACAGTTTGCCACAGCCGCTCGTTTGTTGTCCTCGTCTCCCTCTCTGCCGAAGGTTTACCAGGCAGTTCTATACAACAGTATATATATTGTCACATAACTATGAACTAAGAGAGCGCACTTTGCGAAACAAAAGGCAAGGATTAAAAAAAAAAAAAAAAAAAGCATGAGGGGCACTGACAACCATTTATTTTTATCATTCTTCTCCTTAGCACCCCCTTCAGTATGCCTCTCACATACAACGCTTGCCACGTTGATGACGTTGAGCGCGAGCTGCCCGCATCTCCGTGTGCCATAACGACCCACTTGTATGCTGTGAGAAAGAGGCAGAGTAAAGGGGGAGGTGATAAACACAGGGAAGAGAGATGAAGAGAAGCCAAACAAAGAACCAAAAGGGAAAGTACAGAGTGTGGAATGAAGATGAAGGCAAAGAAGAGGACAAGACAAGCTCAGGAGTGAGTTTGTTCTTGACGACAGAGAAGACGCACATTGTAAGGATGAGGTGGGTGAGCACATGGAAGACCTAGCTGAGGATTATCAGCACAACAATTGCCACGACGGCTGGCATTGAGCATGCCCACCATACACTCCCGACAAATGGCATGTCGATTGCAGTCCAAAATGAAGGAAGAACGCTCACCACAAAAGACCATGCATTCAGTATAGCGCCCATGGCCGCAAAATGGCCTGCAGTCAGGAACGGAGGGATAGTCCTCTACACACATAGATGCAGAAACCATGTCATTGTAGTGATTTTGACAGAGACGATGGCGGCTACAGCCGAGTGTAACAGCATATGTAGCTGTGCAAAGGAGAAGGTCACAGAGTGTTGGCACATTGTCTTGCTGCAGCACTGGTTGGCATAAAAGAGATTGCAGACTGTTTGGTGTGGCAAGAAAATAGCATCATTTTGTAAGAAATCAGTAACATCATTCATGGCATGGACCATGATGCCGCTGTCCCACAGACCATGATGGCATGGACCATGACATGTAATGGCCAGGTCCGTGCAGAATGCAGGCAGAGATGTGGGATGGAGGATTAAACCACTCACCTGCTCGAGCATTGTGTAGCTCAAGTTGGTTGTCCTTCAATGCTACTTGTAGGACAGCAATGGTAAAGCCTCTTTCCCCGATATAATTGCAATCCTCTGGCTGTAGGTGGGGGAGATCAGCATCAAGTTGAAGGGTGATTGCAAGGAAGTTTGATGATGTATAAAATGGGCGGTGGAAAATGTGAAGACAGATATTAGTTGTAGTCAGACCACAGAGATTGGTGAGGATCTCAGTCTTGTGTGCCGGATGCTGGCCAACAATTTGCAGATCGCCCAGTTGGTGTTGCAATCCCAAAATGTCTTGGGTTGCTTGCTGGTCATTCATTTGAAGATGACCCATGTGGTCTGCGCGTGGTGGGGCACAAATTTGTGGTTCATCCAAATGATGTTGGTCAGCCATTTGCAAATCCCCCATGTGGTCTACACCTTGTGGGTTAACTGCAATCCGGGCAGATCATGTTCCAATCCCTCAACATTTGGGGCTGCTCCTGAGCAAGGACTGTCCCTGGAATCGAGAGTGTACTCCGGGCTGGGACCACATCCTGTTGTACAAGTGAGTCATGAATATCTAACGCTGAAGGGCATAAAACATGGTGTTGTGGCTGCCTACATGCAGCTGGACTGTCTACAGGAGGCATAGGAGCGGATATTGTCATTAAGAACAAAGGAACTGGAACAACCTATGGAGCAGGCACATAGAGAATTGGGTCAAACAAAGAAACGGGTTGCTGGTCCCCGGGCAAGTGACGATGCCGCGAATGTCGTCGACGATACACAATAAGAGTAGTGTTGTTGCAAACAGAAGATGGATATGTCCCCTTGGCAACGCAGGTGGAATAACGGGAACGATGGAAACCGGAGAGTCTGTACGCAAGTGGGACCGCGGAGGAGATGGGGGTGGCGAGGAGGAACGCAACCGTGTACGGCCAAGCACAAAGAGAGATGAAAGGGGGGTGGATAGGGTAAGATTTCGAAACAGGACGTGAGTGTTAGAGAGGCTGTGATGTTCTTTGTGGATATGAAGCAGAGGAAGTTGTAGCAATAAAAATTATAGTGCAGGGAATTCCAGAAGTAGAAACTGCAGCAGTGTAAGCCACAATAGTGGAAACCGCAGCAGCAGAAACTACTGCAACGTTGGAAACTGCAATAGCAGAAACAGTCAGAGTGAAAACTTGAGTTGTAGAAACTGCACCAGTGGAAACCACAACAATGAAAACCGCAGCAGTGGAAACTGCAGCAGAAGAATCCGCAACTATGGAAATTGCAGTAGCAGCAAATGAGTAAGGAGGAGTAGGACACGAGCGACATGGAGGCAAGGAAGAAAGTTGATGATGCAGTGACCATCACAGCATGCGTCAGAACCACTAAGAGAGACACATCACATGCGTAGGATAGCGACGTTCGCAGGAGCGCATGTACCAGGTCCACCCCTTAGCAAGGGTTGGTGGGGACTGCCCACGAGCAAGCATGCGACGAGTACGTGTTGTTGCCACAGTTCGAAAGTCATGCCAATCATTACAGATTAGTTCAAATCTAG